GTCTTTTCTCTATCACAAATTCTAAGACGGAATGATCACTTTCCTCTAAGATTTTCATGTGTCCATTTTAGCAACCAGACTCTCCTAGCCCGTGAGAAAAATGGCTTCTGATTTTGCCTCCATTGATCTTCACTTCCCTTGGAGGGAGAAAATGGGACAAAAGAGTAGTTTCCAGGGGATCAGAGGATGGAAATATTCAGACGAGGCTGAGGGAAGAACCCAGGAATGGAATCTGGAGGCAAATAGCTCTGGATTCAGATAGGAATGTGTCTTCCTTGATAGGAGCCAAAAGGGTGGGCATGAAGGACTTCTGAAAACTAGCAGTTTGGGCACGAAATCCCATGGAAATTACACACTGGGGCTAGGTACTATAGAGGTAAAGCATCCGCTTAGGCCCTAGACTCCTACTTCCATATAGTTAAGGGTATCCTGAACAGCTAAATCCATGGCAAGGAAATTAAAAATGAATTAATATAAATTGTAAGATGGGTGGAGATTGCCTATGCCTCTCGTTGACACCCTCCAGGGCAGCTTCATCTATCTGGAGTAGGAAATAGGGGAGTCACTATTTTTTGGTAAAATCTCTGGCATATGGGACTCTCTTTGAGAGGCTTGTGTTGGACTTAACTCCATTAAAAGGCATGAACTCAGAAGAGGAAATGTATGTGGCAGCTGTATGGAGAGGGCTAGAAAAAGCCATAGCTAAGCAGTGAGAGCCAAAGTGGAAAACACAGATGAGAAAAATGGGATTTCAAGAGCCCAGGGAGGAGCATAAATTTGGGGGGCAGGGTCACAGATGAGAGAAGCCAGATATGGAACTGTGGTTGAGTTAGAAAAAGAAGACAATTTAATAGGGCATGGTGTCCTCAAACTTAGTGTCCATTGGGACTAAGATGACTAATACAGAACAGAAGTAAGAACTTTCATTCTCCATTCTCAATCAAGGGGCTTCCAGGAATGACCATAAAAAATAAATGGCACTAGTCAGTCAATCACCAAGCCTTTATTAAATGCTAACCTTGTGCCAGACATGATGTGCTAAGAATACAAAGAAAATTTAAAAAAAAAAAGGAAAAAACATCTACTTTCCCTCAAGGAGCTTACACTTTGAACAGCTCTCATTCAATTTTGTGAGTTGCTAAGTGACTATGCCCTACTGCCATGCTGCAGACTTAGAGAATTTGATTTAACTTCCTTGGAGTTGTAGGAGATTTGTACTCTCTTGAGTATAAGTACAGAAAAATCATAGGTTCATAGACCTAGATACAGAAGAGACCCCAGGGGCCATCTGATTCAAACTCTTCATTTCAGAGATGAGAACACTAAGGGAAGTTAAGTGACTTGCCCAACATTAAACTGGAATTAAGTGTCAGAGACTGGGTTTGCACACAAGTGTTTCGCCTCCAGAGTCTGAGCTCTTTCTCCTACACCACTTTGTCTCTCTGATGTTCCTTTCCTTGGTATTTTTGTTGTTTTGTGTCTGTGGTATGTCTACTAAGATTGTTGTTGTTTGTTGGGTTTTTTTTTTTAGTGAGGCAACTGGAGCCTCACAAAATGTATCTGAGGCCAGATTTGAACTTAGGTCCTCCTGACTCCACAGTTGGCGCCTTATCCACTGTGCCACCTAGCTGCCCCATGTTGTTTTGTTTAATCATGTCAGTTGTGTTGGCTCTTTGTTACCCCATTTGGGGTTTTCTTGGCAAAAACATTGGAGTGGTTTCCCATTTCCCTCTCCAGCTCATTTTACAAATGAGCAAACTAAGACAATCAGGAAGTGACTTGCCCAGGATCACATAGCTAGGAAGTGTCTGAGGCTAGATTTGAACTCAGGAAGATGAGTCTTTCTGAGTTCAGGCCAGCACTCTATCCACTTCACTACCTAGCTGCTCTAGTAAGATACTAATTTCTAGCAAGTAAGATACTAATGTCTAGTAAGATACTAGTATGCCATTCCTTATCTTTAAAGAAGGCCCAGAAGCCCAACCAATTCTTCATTTCCCACCTGCTGACTGCTAGGTTTTGATGCCAACCATCATCATGCTCCCAGGAGTACCCTGTGGGTGGGAATGGTTTACAGCTTCCTTTTGTATGCAGTCTTCAGTCACATAGTAAAGTCCTTGTCTTTCTTTTTCTTATTTGCATCCCTAGCACTTAGCACTGTGTCTGGCACATAGGGGCTTAACACTTGTTTAATGTATTTTACTGTATTGTAGGTGAGAGCTTAGACTTTACATATAACACTTATCACCTCAAAACAGCCCTGATGAATCTGGGAGTAACTAAGAGGTTCATTCTAAGACCTAGACCTGGTAGAAACAGGTCTGGCCACAGGGAAGAGGGAAACTAAGAAAGAGGAAGGCTTAGTTCCTGTAATCAAGTCATAAGAACCTCTACAATTTAGGAAAATTACACCCTTTTAATCTTGTAAAGTTCTCCATTATGTCTCTCCACCGAAATAAATTTCTTTAATGTGCTGTTATATGGTCCAGAGGGAAGGGGGCGGGGGAGAGACAATCTTCCAGCCAGTTCTCTTCCATCTTTTCCCCCGACCTTAAAGAAAAGGAGGAAAGTTAGGGGAAGCAGTAATGAAAGAAACTCAGGAAAAGGCTGGTTCTTTAGAAAACTGGTATAAAACTGAGTTGGTACAAGTGGAAGAGATGTGGCACTATTCCTTCCCTTCTCACTTCTTCCAGGCCCAGGTACCACCTGGTACCACATGTTTGAGCAGATTAATGACATTATGCTATCTATACATTAAGATTAATCTTCTAGTGGTAAAATGATCTATAAGTGGCAGAAGGTTTAGGAAGGGGATGTTCACTCTAGACACAGGAAGACAGTAACATATAATGAGGGCCCAAATTAAGGTGTCATTAATGGTAATAGAAAGGAGGGCTAGTTGTTATACATCACTGAAATGTACTTCAAATATTTTACAGGTTAAATAGTCTTTTATGGGCTTGCCTGGGAACCTAATTAACATCTAAACCATTGGTTAGATGGCCTAACTCAGCAATTCCAAGCAATCACAGGTGACTTACAACTTTCAGTACACCTCTCTTCCCATCATTGTATATAATGTATATTACTGTATATGTCATACATAGGGTTAAAATTGTAATAAACAGCAAGGTTGAACATTAAACAAGGGAATGATCAACTGAACTTCTCAAACCCTGAGAAGCAATATCTAAAGGGAGCAGACTGAAGACATGATTGAGAAAATTTCAAGAGAGACGGATGGTGGACACACTTCATTCGTTTTAGACATCCAAGCAAACCCAGTTTAATTATTCAACTCCCTTATCTAAGATTTTGCTTCCCTCCACAACCCAACCTTTCGGGAACCTTCCATTCTTTGGCTTTCTAATTAATCACTAATCAAGAACTGCTGTAAAAGACCACTTGCATTTACATAATGGCCTCACGCTCTTCTCTCCCCGTCTAGGCTCCTGCGGGACAGGTAAACACATATTACCTATTTAAAAGGGTCAAAGAGGGGAAGTAACAATAATGGCCCACATTTACCTGGCGCTTTACAAAATAAAATTCTTTTGTTGGGGAAGTAGATAGCAAAGCTCTTTATTTTTAAAGCCCTATGTAAATGTCAGCTGCTTCTGCTGCCCACACAGGCTGGCTTGCTCCAGGTCGTCAGGAACAGACTAAAAAGCTATCAACTACTTCCATTTTCTGACAAAGGTGCCCTGTCTAAATTCAAATGCCGAAATGCCATTAAACGTGGACATAAACTGAGGACATGACAGGGAATATTTCAAGAGAGATGGATGGTGGACACGTTTCATTCATTTTAAGACATTTCACTAACCGCAATTCAGTTATTCAGCTCCCTTATCTGTAACATTACCTCCCTCTCCATCACCGCACCTTCCATTCCTTTGCTTTCTAATCAATCATTTAACTAGGCGCATGGGCTCCCTGGGCCCAGCTTTTACGGTACAAGATTAGAGAGGCTGGATGCAAGCTGGATGGGCAGAAACTATGCCACTGAACTGGAGAGGTGAATCCGGGAACCGCCACTCCTCTTCCCACTCAGTCCCCAAGAAGTAAACTAGGACTCTTTTTAAAATTTATTTTTCATTTTTCCAGTTAGGCCCCAAGATCAGCGTCTGCGCTAGGGAAAGCTGGACCCGGAAGGCCCCATCCGCAGGGACTGTCAGCGCAGCAGCAAGAATGCAGCGAGGTGCGGCAGCAACCCGCCGCGCACGGCCGAAACTACAAATCCCAAGACGCAATGCGGTCCCCGCCCCTTCTCCGCTAGTCCGGGCTGGTGGCCGAGACCGCGAGCATTCTAGGAATGTTGTTGTGCTCGGGCTTCCTTCGGCGCAATGCGTCTAGCTAGTCCCAGTTTCTCAGGGCGCCGGTTGTTTCCGGCCCTCTCGGGTTCTTCCTATAGTAGAGAGGCAGGAGTGGGCGGTGCCAGAGACTAGCGCGTCTCTCGCCAGCGGTCGGGAATACGCGTGTTCATTCCACTGGAGGATAAAGAGGGCGGGGCCTGGATGTTCCATTTAAAGACTGGAGCGTAAGAAGCGAAATGGGAGGAGAAAGGCGAGCACATGCGCACTAGGGGAAGTCGAGCCGCGAAAGCGTCCGAGCTGCCATGCTTGAGCAGGAGGGAAGCCGTACAAAAGACGCCTGCGCACTAGCCTCAAGCTTCCTGCGTAGTCTGGTCCCGGTCCCACTTCCCGGAAATGATGTTCATCACGCGTAATCCAGCTGCCTAAGCTCCTCCCCCAGGTCCGTGGGCCCCGCCCCCGAGGGATAGCCCCGTCTCTTTCGCCTCCTCCCTCCCTCCCCTCCCTTCCCTTGCTCTCCGGTCGGTCCCCTCCCCTCCCTTTGGCTGTGGTGGCGCCTCAGACCGCCGCTGTAGCTGCCGGGCCCCCGAGCGACACTGAGTTATCCCGGAGGCGCAGCCGGGATATGATCTGTGCCTGCTGCTATTCCCGTCCTGCTGGCCTGAGCTTCTGTTGCAGTCCTGAACCCGCGCCTGCGGGGCTGTGCGCTCTTGCGTCTGCTGGTGTCCCAGCCCGGGCCCCGCGGCGGCGGCTGCAGTGCCCCCCGGCCAGCCCCCTCCTCCCATGGCGGCGGAGATCCAGCCGAAGGCGCTGACCCGCAAGCCGGTCTTGCTGCAGCGAGTGGAGGGGTCCCAGGACGTGGTGAATATGGCAGTGATCGTGCCTAAGGAGGAGGGAGTCATCAGCGTCTCCGAGGACAGGTACGAGACCCCGCAGGGATGCCCCAGGCGGGACGGGGAGGACGGACCGGCGATTTTTTTCTTCTCTTGACCCTCCCCCAACCCCGGGCGCTTTTGTTCCTTGGCTTCTACTTTCTTCATTCTTTCCCCTGGGGGTCTCGCTAGTGTTCCCCCCCCCCTCCGGAGCGCATCTCCGAGCGCCCCAGCCGAACGAGCGCTGCGCGCCGCCTCCTTGTGCTGCGTGTCTCTTGGATGCGCAGACCCGACCGGCCGCCCGAGCCCTGGGCACTCCCCCCAGGATCAGTCTCCCCGCCCCTCGGCGTCCCTGGGCTGTTCCCCCAGCTGATGGGGTCGGGGCTGCTGTCCAGCCTCGGGCCTCGCTCTGGGGAGAGTCCGCACCTGAGCTGGCCGGCGTTGCTGATGCTGCCTTTTGGACTCTGCGCGGCAGGTGCCCAAAAGACGCACTGAACTGACCATTGGAGATAACGAAGGTGTTTGATACATTGCAGTTGAAGCGTTTTCTGCTGGACTCTGCGAAGGCAAATCTTTCTCTCTGCCCACTATTCTTAGTACATTTTGAAGCGGCCTTCAATAAACTGCATTTAGTTTACTGCTTTCAGTAAATGTTGCAAATTGCAAACCACTAACTTTACGTTATAGTGTGGTGGTTTCTTCACTCTTCTCCCCCCCCATCCCTTTTTACTTTCAAGGGGAAGTGCCTAGAACATACAGGGAACCAAGAAAACCCCTATAAATAGCTTTAGAGTTCCTTCCCTTGCTGGCTTATTTGCTTTTAATTGTGTACTGCCTGACTTGCAAAAGTGGAGTTGATGCGCAGACAATAGCATATCAAATATGCAGAAACAGCTGACTAGGTTAGTTTCTGGAAGAATGCTGTTTGAATATAGGTGAAGGGCAGATCATAATTTAATTATAGTAGCTGATCAGATATACCAATGGATATTTGAGTAGCTAATATAAAGCTACCGGACAGTTAAAATGTTAGGATACTATATACTCAGTGTAAAATATGTAGTCAGGTTTAATTAATGAGTAGAAAGCATGCCTTGGCAGATCCACTTTCAGTGAAGGAAGTGAACTTAGTCCTGTGTTTAGTGCCGTTACCCTCAGGTCCTCACTCAGCTTTCTTTGTCCCCTTTATAACTGCTACTTGGCCCTGCTATAAATCATTGATTAAGTTCTTCATCAAATGTACTGTTAGCGTATTGGATGATGTTCTCTTATCTACCTGCTATGATCCAAAAGAAACCTGATCCATTTCCTCTGCAGTTTGATGGGAGAAAATGTAAACATACACCTCTTGTCCTTGGCAAACAGTCTGCAATGAAATTCATTGCTGTAATTTAATATGTGTTTGTTGTAACCTTCCAAAATTTGTGCAGAGACTTTGGGTGCTTGATCTTTCCATGGAGGTAAAAGTCTGTTATTAAGAGTGCCATAGATGTTCCACATTGTTTTTTTTATTATAAAATCTTGTTCTAAGTGAATATATTGGGAAAGGGACTTTTAACCAGTTTGTAAGTAGCTGATCTCGGCTTCTATTTAATAAATAATTAAAACTTCTTAGACTCAGTAGGGAAAAAGAGACATGACAAAACCCTTACCCTATTTCTTTTCCCTAGATTACCAAGCTTTAAAAATTTCTTTTTTGTCTAGGTTAGGTGGGGTTTTGTAGAATTGTTGGATTTCAGAGCTGGAAGGGACTCTAGAAATCAACTAATTCAAGAGGCATCATTGTGTAGTCAAGAAGTATTAAGTGCTTACATTGTCACAGGCACTTTACTAAGCTCTGAGATATATAGTAAGGCAAAAACAGCTCACTGTCTAATGGGGAAGATAACATGCAAGCAGCTATTTACAGACAAGATAGATACAGGATAAATTGGAGATAATCTTAGAGGGAAGGCACTAATGTTAAGGGCGAGAGGAAAAGTCTGCTTGCAAAGGTGAAATTTTTATTTAGCTGAGACTTGTAGAAAGTAGTAAATCCAGGAAACAGTGTAGAAAGAAATCTGGATATGGAGTCAAAGCCTGTGTTAGAATTTTGACTCTGCTACCCATGTGACTTTGGGAAAGTAGCAGTCTCTTTTAGGCTTCGGTTTCCTCTGTAAAGTGACAGAGTTGAACTAAATGATTTCCAAAGCCCTTTCCATCTCTGAATCCTTTGAGAATCCTCAGCTTTTTTTTTTGGGTGGACTAGACTTTTGTAATGACCTTCCTCTGTTTCCCCAATGAGAAAACTTTCACTACCCAGAATTTCTGATTCCAAAGCTTGTTTCTATTCAGTCCCTTTTCTGACTCTTCCTGACTTCATTTTTCTGTTTTTGTTTTTGTTTTTGGCTAGGCAGTGGGGTTAAGTGACTTGCCCAGGGTCACACAGCTAGTAAGTGTTATGTGTCTGAGGCCAGATTTGAACTCAGGTCCTCCTGAATCCAGGGCCGGTGCTCTATCCACTGCGCCACCTCGCTGCCCCCTGACTTCATTTTTCTTAGCAGAGATCCTGGAGTGGTTTGCTATTTCCTCTCCAGATCATTTTACAGATGAGGAACTGAGGCAAATAGGGTGAAGTGACTTGCCCAGGGTCACACAGTAAATGTCTGAGGCTGGATTTGAACCCAGTTTCTCGTGTCTTCAGTTCGTGTGCTTTATCCATTGCAATGCCTAACTGCCTATAATTGAAGATACAAAGGAATTATTTGTACCAAGACTATCAGGACTGTAACTATTATTCTCTGCTGGACCTCGAACAAGTTATATGGTCTCTCTGGGCTCCATTTTACTCATGTGTAGAATGAGAGGAGGGTTCAACTATTTAATTTTTAAGGTCCATTTCAGTTCTAAAATTCTGTCTCTATTCAGATTTTCCTTTTTGGTGGAGGAGGAGCAGATATAATTTCATTGGTTTGGAAATTTCCTCTACCAATGCAGATCCCAAGTCTATAACTTAAAAGTTTTGGTTCCTGACAGCTTAATTGACTTGCTTGTGGTTATACAGCTGATATATATATATTCCAGGCAGTCAGTGAACAGAGATTTTCTTGACTTCAAGACCAGCCCTTTATCCACCAAGCAACATTCCACTACCAAGCCCCATTGCCCCCTTTCTTAACTCTGCTTTAGTTACACAACCAGGTCCCAATTAGGGGGGATAATGAATTCTGTGAAGTGGTCCCATGGATTCAAATTTGAACTGGAACTCTTCAAAGTTGTAATTATGTAACATAGGGTAATTGTATGTGACCACTTAAAAGGATTCATTATTCCGCCTAATTGGGACCTACCTGTGGAAATAATTTAGGCATTGGCTCATTCAATTGAATGGAATTTAGTTATCGTGTTGTTTGACCTATAAAGAATCATATCAAATGTTTTCTTTGATTGTAGGCAAAATGTTCCCCATAGTTTATGATTTCTTTGCCTCTTACTGAAAAGAGTGGAGAGATTGTCCTGAAGGTAGTACGGAAGTTGGATAGATTCAAACTAGTTTTTGAATATTTGAATCTTTTAATGACTTAAAATGGATGGAGTGTCAGCGATGCTCAAAGTTCAACAAGTGGCATACTCAGAAATAATTATCAAGAGAAAAGGTTTAAAGTAAGTTGTAACCACAGCTGGTTTTTAAATCTTCAAAGAATAAACATACATTTACAAATGTTAAAATCCATATTCTTATACTTTATTCAGAAACCATGTCAACTGGCTTATGCCAGTAATCTGCCAGGAAACTGACTGTCTATATGTCTTTTAAAGCCAGAATGCAGTTTTTGTTTAAAAAAAATTACTGGGAAAACTGATCAGAGGGTACTAAATTGAAGACTTTTAGCTTTAACCTGAAGTGGCCCAAAGAAGTGACTCCCAAAGAAGTCACTAAGTCGTCATTCAGTTATGTAACGAAACCAGATACTGTCCAATCCCACAAGAATTTAGATCTGCTCGATCAGGATATGAAGATCCCGGATATTGCACCACTTTGGAAAGCATTATGCCAATACTGACTTCTTTGGAGTTGGTGATATTTATCTAGTTAAAACCACTGAGATTTCATCTTTCTCTTCTCTTCCTGCCCCACTCTTTTTGCATTCTTCCAGAAACTTCCTTTGGAATGGAAATTTAGGTATAATCATAGTTTTTTTCAGAGCTGAAAAATGGACTTGAAATAACCTAGACCAATAGCTAAGTGTTTTCTTCCGGGTAAATGGTAGAACCAGCCACATAAAAAGAGACTTAACTTTTTGTATAGATGTCTTCTCTTAGGTAACTCTCCTACCTTGCACTTTCCTTATTTTTAGTGCTGGAGAGACTTTGTTTCTTTCCAAATGGCTCTAAATGATCCTGATCAATATTTTAGACAAACTCATAACATTTAGAAACCAACAATTAAATTGTGATTTGAGACTCCTATTAATAATAATAATAATAATAATGATTAATAATAGGAATTTAAGATTCCTGTTTTCTTTAACCCATGATTGCTTGATGGATAGATGTGGCATGGAACTAAGTTACATTATAGTGCATACGTGCTTGAGAGAAAAGTGAGTGTCGGGCCACTTTTTCTTCTCAATTTTACAATTAAAAGGGAGAAAATTTTAGAGGGAAGGAAACCTTAAAAAAAAAACCTATGCAAAAATTCCAAAAGAGTGCCCTGACTAGCAGAAATTCCCTAATAGAAAAAAGTCATGTATTTAACTTTACAATTTTATTTGCCTTTTTTTTTAGGGAAGAGGTATCAAATATCTAGGTTTCTGTCATTAGGTAATAACCTGCAAAGTATCTTTATTGTGAAAAAGACTTTAGGAGCACCTAGGTGGTGCAGTGGATAGAGCACCGGCCCTGGATTCAGGAGGACCTGAGTTCAAATTCGACTTCAGACACATAACACTTACTAGCTGTGTGACCCTGGGCAAGTCACTTAACCCCATTGCCTAGCCAAAAAAAAAAAAAGAAGGAAAAAAAAAGAAAGAGACTTTAACAAATTAAAATCAAGGCCTTGTACCCAG